GAGAGGCATCTACAGTTCCTGTGAAGGAATAATGAGAACTGAAATTACTGCCACTGCTCTGCAGAGGACGGAAACGATGCAGTGTTAACGAGGAAACGGGCGAATAGCTGGCCGATTCTGCTAAGCGCTTCATCGGCCTATCGTTGTGTCGATGATGAGACGAGACACGAGAACACAGCTTTGCAAACACTGTGCTTAATCGTGTTGCTGAATCACATTGGCAAATCCGTCCGTGTTCGGCTAGTGTTTCACCCCTCCACTCATCACCATCGCCATAATCATCAGCCGAACCACTGTGAACAAATACACGGCCAAAGTCGAGTGCAATGTCGGATCTGTTTGATATGCTGCTTATTCGACGGCCGGAGTCGAAGAAGAGCTCGAATGAGGCATGTCAATCGCCGGCACATAGACAAACATAAAGAAATCTTGTGTCGACATCGAGCACCGTTCGAAGAGGGTCACGTCAACAGGCAGCCACTGTATCCACAAAAGCTAATAATGGTTTTGTGAGGGAAAACCAATCTGCAAGATGGCCACTTTCAGTTCTTCTTTTAAGCATTAGCAGTTTTTGGGAAAAGTGTTTATTATATCAACATGGGAATATAAAAATATCAATTATCTAGTCAAGGTGCTGGAACCCGAACAAAATGTGCATAGTCAAAACTGGATTCGATTATCACAAGACTGTCACCAGCACCGAGAAACGCGTAGATTGGGTGTCGATCCAGGACTGTGAGTTGCCCCTCCCGTGAAGGATGTGGAAAAAATCTCCAAATTCCATCTGTTTTCCCCATCAGAAATGCCCAAAAAAGGACGTATCGGTAGCACAAAAGCTTTGGTAATAATAAAAGTGGACCTATAATAAGGAACTATTAATAAAAAATGAACCCAGAATTCTTCGCTATCTGGCCGGTAAGTTCGGCTCACTGCACCAGGAGGCTCCCAACACGGCGAAACCGGCGAAACAAAAGCACGTCGATTCGAGTGATATACTTTACAATCCAATCAATTAGGTTCTTGTATACCTTGCCTTTGAAAACCAGATGCTTGTCGAGTGCAGACTACACAACACAAGTAACAACGGCCTCTACGAAATGTGAAAAAATTTCTGCGCAGAGAAATACCCTCGCCTTCAAATGACCAGAAATTGTGCAATTGCAGAAATTGACGTGGCATTGGCACACGTGGCTAAATTCTCGATGAAAAGGTGACATCACGTGTGCTCAAAGATGTTCTTGAATCGATGCCACGTTAATGCCACGTCAATTTCTGCAATTGCACAATTTCTGGTCATTTGAAGGCGAGGGTAATTAGCCGACTACATTTGTGATTATTAGTTGTGAACAACTCGATCATTCACCCCAAATAGTCAGCTATTCACTATGAAACGCACCACAATTTACTTACAGTGCTCGTCTCTTGTGAGTGTAAGCCTGTACTCGACGAGTATCTTGGTTTTTGGAAGGAGCGCGAAGTCACATGGCGTAAACTCACGGCTTAGGGACCCAAATTTATGTTACCTGTCCAAATTTCCTCACTTTTGTTTCGGGTTTTGAACATTTTATCACTCACAAGCTAATAATGACCTTCGTGGAAAAAAACCAATACCGAAAAAAGCCAAAAAATCCGTGGAACTCTACCGATCTCTTTACCCCACAATAAATGTGGAGGGATATAAGATGGACTGGACACTGTACCTTTTGCAGCAAACGTCAAGCGAGTGCTCCTGCGACCGCGTAGATGGCCTACTTGACCGACACCCAAGTAACTTGATAGGGAAGACGAGGAATGGAATAATTGAGAACACAATTTACAAAACCCTACCTCACTCGGTTACAAGTCTGCTACGGTCCTCCCACCACTTTATCGGCGGCCATTTTCACCACATACCACCTGGATATCTAGGAGTCTCTTACATGGATGAGTTTATGAGAAAAGAACATGCCACACTGCATGCCAGCAAATAAGTTTGTAGCGTCACGTTCTCGGGGACAAGTCCTCGGCCACGTAACCCGACCTTCCGCCATTCCAAATTTCCCTCGCGCGCATCCCTTCCTCATAATACGTCGATGGGGTTCTTGGAGCAACACTACGTTGGAAGGGAAACTGTGTGTAGAATAACAATGTCAGATTAATAATTTTATCAACCAAAAACATGATTTCCTAACATTTTCACACAGTTTGCAGCTGCCGCTTGTTCTTCTATCCACCCGGGTCGTATTGAAACCGCATGATCGACGGTCTTTAGGTATCGCGTGTAGCTCTGAACAGTAAAGGATGATAAAAGGATGAACTCTGGCGCTAGCCGAATCCTTTTTTTAGGTGACTCAACAGTCATTTACAACGTCCATTCACAAGCGCACAATATGTCAAATATCCATTCGAATGACACTAAGACTTTTGAGAAAGTCACAGTCTCATTTAGTCTGGGCACAACCCCAGCAAACGATTGAATTCAGGCCTTTTTTAGTATTGCTATACATTGTGGCCATATTACCTACGCCATACAAACGTCGCGGAAAAGTCAACGACACTGGTATCACCGTTTTATTGCAAATACAATTAAAAGCAGCTGAATAAGGTGTAACTCCTCCCAAACATCTACCTCTTCAAATTCCTCACTGAGGCGTGCTGAAAAAGTATAAGCCGACACAGAATCGCTTGAGGAAAGTCGTACTCTGCCTCATCTTCGCCGATTACATCATAGCACTCCGATGTCTAAACCAAATCACTAATAAGTCAATGAAAATTGGCGGCGCAACTTCGAACAACATTGACAGGCGTTCGTCCTCGTTTTTGGCAGCATGGGAATGGCGGAGAATCTTGGCAAGCACGGTCGTTTGGACTCGCAATACAAATCACCTGAATTAGGTGCTTTCTTCCGAGCGCGTTAAACTGGAATCGCACGCGGCTCAAATCTACTTGATTCATTTTCACAAGAAGCACAAGCACATAGAAAAGGTAACAATTACAACAAAAACACATACAACACAAACACAAAACAAGCAATTTGTTTATGCTGGGGTTTTGTATTGCTGAAAGCCGAAACCTCCGAAGCGCGGAATCCGCGCCGACGGATCGCGGATCTGACACCAACCTAAAGACTGGGCATATCACACCTACGGGTTGAATCCGAGCGTCAGACTAAACAGCTGCCTGTGTCGGCTCGACTGCTTGCACATCGGTTACCATTGCAAGCACTTGTTACATGTCGAATCCGCAGAATGACACCACGATTTTGTATTAAAGAACAGTTCGTGGCGCATCTCCTATCATGAACTAAGTACTCCATCATATTTTTAAGGGGTCCATTTTGATATTTGCCTGTCGTAAAGGTTTTTTATGGTCAGCGCTGCGCTAAATTAGGAGGTAGACACCAGGGTCAAGCGTGCGTTGAGGAATCCTCGACATGTCACAGAGGGGGGGTCGTATTGGCCCGCTGGGGAGAGATCGGGCCCGATTGATACAGTAGGATCATCGTCGGAGGACAAACATTAAGGATCGAATCGATACCAGGCCAGAGTATTTCCAATAACAATTGATTCCGTCCACACAAAATCTTCGTGATTTAGAGGTGTCCGCTTAGCAATTCTTAGTGACTTTAGTGTTTCATCACCACACAAGTCAAAGGATCCGAAATTCGCACGTTTTCTAGGGATATTTTATCTTTCAAGTAGGTCCTCAAATCCAACGAGATGTGAAGCACACGGCGCATCCCAGAGTGGGCCCAGTTGGTTGCGCGCGCTTCAGCTACGGCTATCTTGATAACGAATCTTAATTCAGGAAGAATCAAGAGGGTTCTGAAAGAGTTCATGTTAAATTACAGAGAGGAGTACACTATTCAACAAGAAACGCAGCCTTCAGCGTCAAATTCACAAGCATGTAACCTTTAAAGTTGAGACCCGCTAAACAATTTTACACTTTTTGCAGAGAGAAAAGCACGAGGATTTTGAATCTGCTCCTACTTCAGTATGTAATCGCTCCTGCAAGGAGCTATAGTCGTTGGGATAGTGCTAAAAAGTACCTTTCGGCGGTACTCGGGCAAAAATCCTCAACGTGGCCATTTTTTAAATAGTGAACGTATTTAGCAGTTTTAGTTGCCTATAGAAAGAGCAAATCTTCTAGTTTATGATGACGTATTAACTTTCCAGATTGCATGAGTTTGAACGGAGTTATGGCTTTGGAAAGCGTAAAAACTCGCACTCATCACGAATTTTCCTCGTTAATTTTGCAAAAATCCTCAACGTGGCCATTTTTTGAGTACTGGACGTATGAAGCTGCTTTAGCGACCGTTTGATAGAGAAAATCTTCTAGTTTTGTATGACGTATCAACTTTTTGAATTTGACGGAAATGAAGCAAGTTATTGCTCCGGAAAGTGTAAAAACTCGTGCTCGTCTCGAATTTTCCTCGTTATTTGATCTAAATTTGTTATTTCTTATAACTTCCTGTAATTTCAGTACTGATTAGAAAAAGCTCTTCACAAAACTCCCAAATCAGCTTTCAGATTGAAAATTCGTTAACTTTGAAGAAAGTTATAATCATTTGAATATTTGTTCAAATTTCAATAGTAAATAAGCTGCTCCACGGTCAACGCCAAAGTCCAGTCAACACACAGCTGGCGAAGGCTTTTACAAGGCTTCCTTTGAGCGAAAGGGGGACGTGTAAATTGAGAACCATAATCTGTGTAGTACTAGAATTTGGTAAGTCTTGTGGAGGAAATAAACAAAGAAGAGGTGTTGTCATAGTACGCCATTTCTAGTGACTAGTTTGACGTTTTTTGCTCCGTTTCTCGTTTGCTCGTTTGACAGGACTCGTCATTAATGATCATTCTTTGACTTTTTCACTTTTATACTTTTTAAACGAGTTTTTTTGTGGACGATGGGGTAGCAGGGCTTTTTATGAGCAGTTTTGGTGGAGAATTAAACAACTTTTTCATAGTTCGGCTTTTAAAGAGGGTTGTTTCATGGACTTCGGCCTTCGGCAGAGGGAGGGGGGTCGTATTTCCGAATTTTCCTCGACGCCTCGCTTGACCCTGGCTTGACACGTTGTTCTGCATGAAAGCAAAAAACGAGATCAACCCAGTAAAGGTGTCAACGTACACACTAGCAGCAGGTTGAAACCACCCAGTTATCATCACCAGCAAGCAAGCAAGTCAATCTCATAACCACGCCAGCAAGAAGAGGTGGCCTCAGCGTAGCCAGTTCCATTTGGCAGAGGGCCAGCTGAGAGGCAAACTTTGCGAAACTCCATTGCCATGAGTGCTGCTGAAATAAACAGATGATACCGAAGACAGTTACTGTAGTGTACGACCATATAATTCTACCAATTCTCTGCAATTTTTCCGCATAAGCTAATCACGGTCACCATCTTGTCCATTCATTATTGTATTAGACTGTGGAATGTGGAATAACAAGGGCAGTGAAGCAGTAGGAGTTATATCTCCGCACCATCACAGAACGTCTGGAATGCGTGGAGAGCGTGGAGCACATGGACTTCCTCTGATAGAGAAGAGGTTCAGCGAGCGAATGATACGCATAATCATGGTGGCGCATTTCACGATCTCTTGTATTCTACGATGGCGCGAGGTAGGTGCGCTTAGGTCTTGGGCCACTCAGGAAGCGCGGAAAGAGATCGATGAAAGATTAAGTCTTCTAAGCTAATGGTAAGTCAGTAGTCTGAAGCGTGCTGAAACCTAGTTGATTCCGACCGATTACAGCGTGACACAGGCAGCACTTAGTCAAAGCTGACGTGCATGGTATCCAAAAGCACACCCAGCAGACGGCTGCCCCGTGCAACCTTGGAGCCACTGCACGACGCCGCCGTCAGACACCTCCCAGTTTTCTACGCCAGCAGTTCTTGCTGTTGATGGAGATGAATTCTCAGCACATGATGGGTCCGATCGCTACCTCGGTAGAGGCAACATCCATCCACTGACTATGCTGCCTAACGCTTCCCTGAAATAAGGTCACAGATGGCTTGGAATTACCAGAGCACCCAACGAAATCTAATATTGATATCATGTTCACCACTCCAGTTTGACAAAATGGCTCGGAAACCTCTTAATCTGCTCTTTTAACTCACACTAGTATAACGGTAACAATTTGCACAAATCTCACCTGTACAAGCTTATGTACAAGGCGCATAAAGAACATAGTTGTGCAAACCAGGAAGCGGAAATCAGTTGCACGACATATCTGCAACCATTGACTCAATAAAACGAATAAGGGGAGAAGTGCGAAGACGGCGAATATTCACAAAGACACCTGTCACACTCACTTGTATTTCATGAGCATCCACCGCTTCGGCGTCAAACTCACTCATGACTTCTTCGCATAGTGAGTGTTGAGATTCGACTTTTGTCGCCAAACGAACTGCAGCCACTGAGAGACTTTCGAGCTGATCCCGTTTGACGTGACGTTTCTACAAGATTGCCGTATAACAAAAGAAGAACCTGCCTTCAGTCCTACGCACTATTCAAGGCAGACCTCCATGAATACCAAAATAACGAGAATGAAAACTGTTTACAAAGAAACCTACAGAAACAGTTACTGCAACAAGATACGCGGCAAGTGGTAATACTTCGGTGGGCAAACGTTGACTATAAAACACATCCGCTATAAATAGGTTAGTAAGAGCAAATGTTCGATATCCACCTAGAGCATGCCAGTCTGACTTCGTGGTAGATGGATAACAAGCCTAAAAAGAACTATGAATTCAAGGATGCTAGTTTTCCATCAAGTTTCGATCTGTCCCAATTTCCTCACAACATCAAGTCGCCATTCAAAAATGCTACGAATATTTTCACCGGTAGAAAACACACACACAGGTGTGGTCCGCTAGGAACAGAAAGAGAAGATCTTCGCTTTTCGTGCGCGGAACTATTTGTTACAGGGAGCCCAGTCCAGTAATAATTGGGATGACCTGGGGTCTCCACAACGAAAAAAGCTTCACGCAACGGCAAGAGCAAGTGTCTTTCTGTCATGGCTTGACCACACTCAGCACGCACAGGTGCCGCATAAAATATTGTTGACTAAAAGGGGAGAGACCATTCATCGAATTGCTTTCCCAGGCGCAGCCTGACTTCTAGAATATTCGCGTCCATATGTGCTTTCATACTTTACAAATGCGTCTTTCAAGAAAATTTTTCAGATTTCGAGGCGATTTTTTCCCATCACCGGCCGGGATAAATCAGCACATGGCTGCTGACAAAATTAAGTAACCGAGTTACGATCAATTACAGACAACATGCCTGCCTCGAAAACGCATAGTTGATGATGTCAACGAGAAAATCAGAATGCGCCGACTCAAGATCCACTCGCCAAAAGATGCCGGCTCGATGATACTTAACTACGTTCTCCGCTTCCTTCGGTGTCGGAGGTGAGGGATTTCTCTATTATGTCCAGGCAGAGCGTTCCTTCCATCTAGAAGAAATTAAAGAAAAAATGACATAAACTGGATTCTCCCACTGTTGCCAGAAAAAATGGATTAGAAAGATAAGAACGAACATAAAATGAAATGCTTCACTTCAAAGGATAAATGGAGAGATGAGAAAACGAAATGAAATGAATGAACAAAAATAGACAAACAAAACGGATTCACTTTCTCTGAATTGGAAAACAACCCAACACTTACCATGAGACGTGGAAAACCAAAAACCATTCAAACCAATCGACTTCAGAAGTCTGTCGAAAAAACGAGAATCACTTCGCTCTTCTACTTTCTGAAACAGGTTTACTGTTATATGAATGAAAACTCCTCACAACATGCGGACTTTTTCCCTAAAACTGCACAATAACTAGAGATATTTGGAACAAGAACAATGCTATTGACTGCGGCCAGGCGTATTAAGGCCGATGTCAGAGTTTGCGAATCTAGCGGTTCGCTAGCGAATCGCTGGATTTGCAAACTCTGGCATCGGCCTAATAACCAATTTTTTCTGAACCACCTGGCTGTTGGTAGTAAAAATACAGTTCATGTAAAGTAATCTCAAAGGACTTTGTGCAATGCGATTGCATGTTTCTATAAAAACACCAATGTACTGATTGGCTTCCTATAGACCAGAATATTTGGCACCAATATCGTTAGTAAACGCCAGCTCTTTCTGTGGGTGTCCAGAACCTGATACTCAATAAGGGCGCAGTCATACTTTGCAACTGTCTTGCGATTTGCAGCAGTTTGAGTGTGGAGTAGGTATCTATCGGACGGTCGGACGATCGATTGATCGATACATATCTACTTCACACTTGAGCTGCAGGATGGTCGCAAGGTATAACTGCATCTTAACTTAAAATGTCGCATACAGCTGTCAGCAGATGCACCTTCAGGGAATCATTATGAGAAAATTTTGCAACTGTGTGATCAAGACCAAGGTACAAAAAGAAATCGAAAAATGTTAACTGGTAGTACAAAAATGTCGAAGTGCCCAAGAAGAGCAATTCTTTTTGGTCGTGCATCGCTTTGGAAATTCATGCAGAAACTCCATATCTCGAAGTCTGATTAGGCGTGTCTATGGGTTTGACGTGGCGGCCGCCGCACTTGATAGAAGTTGCGGATAAGCTGCTTCCAGCATGCTTTGCTGATATCCAGCGGAGTATGTTAGAAACAGCTTATCCACACGGCTTCTATCAAGTGCGGCGACGGCCACGTCAAATCATAGACACGCCTAATCTGACTCGAGATATGGACTGTATACGCTGTTACACAATACAGAGAGCTGTGAAGCCCCTCAAGGAAGTCAGTGTATCACTCTTCTCAATAGACAACGAATGTTGTAAATGGAGAAGAATCTATTGTAAGTCGGCCGAGATTTCAAAATGTCGACCGCGCCCTTTTAACAATATGTGCCTAAATGACATGTATCGCCAATGCGAACTACGTCTAAAACTCATCCCATCATTTACCACAAAACGATAATCGTAGAAAAAAACGTTAGCAGGGGTGAAACTATATGAATACCTTGGATGGATTTCGTTCACTGTCTCTATCCGTCGTAGTGCGTTGATCTTCTTCCTTATTTGCAGTGCCATCCTGGTTACGCTCATTATTTTCCCTGTATTAAAACAGAGTTGACCACGAAAACTGGTTTTACCATATTATATAGATGCACCGTTTCAGATTTTTTTTCACTCCAACTTGTCCACTTCTTAGCTGATCTAGTGGGCACGTATCAAAATCAGAAAAATAAGCAACCGATAACAGTTCTTCGTATGATCAAATTAAGGGGCTTCAAATGCGGAACTGGACGCTAATGTTAGCCTGATATATGAAAATTAAAGGAATCGATAGCAACACAACGTCAATCGATTATTGAAAGACTGTGTATGTCACTGAGCGACCAGAAAGGACTTTTCAGTTTTTAATAGCGGAAATTTTCTTCGTTGCAAAGGCCCCAGACCCGTCTTCAGTGGTGGACCTGAGGATCCTGCTGCGAAAAGCAGACAAGTTCTTGTAGTCCTAGCGAGCTACATCCCTTATCGAGTGATAAGTTACTCACCCCAATGAGACTTTATCAAATTTACGCACTAGTCCTTGAACGTTGCCGGCCTGAAAAGTAGAGCTATCTATTTAGGTTCTGGAGTTCATTGATAACTATCCATCGTAAATGCTCTGCAAGTGGAAAGAAGTAAGATAGTAGATACAGTCATGATCCGACACACCAAGCCGTCGGTCCTTTTTTGACGGCTTCGACAGCTGGGTACCCCCCAGGAGGCCCGTCGCGCGGCAAGAAGGCAAAGTCAGCGGACGAGTCGCGCGCGTACTATAGGGATTTCGCGTCAAGTTAAATAGAGTGTCCCACTGCACGTCCTACATCGCACACCACGCGCTGCAACTCGTCCGCCGACTCTGCCTTCTTGCCGCGCGACGGGCCTCCTGGGGGTACCCTCGACAAACATGGAATTTTCAATGACTTATTCTGGCGAACCAAGACCTTGCATAGAACCATGCAAAAGCACAAAAGTGAGCGGAAACAAGTATAGTGCCATGTTGCTTACTTCCTTTCCTAAGATTTGCTCAAAAGCGGAAATTACGATGAAAAGACAGCCCATCGGAAACCAAGGTAGAGGTGGAAAGGGATGAAGGAAAATCATGAGAAAAGCCCCATAATCCGAGAAATGAGACCCCATTCTTTGCCGTTGATCCGGATTGATAGGACCACCAGCGGTGCTGCCCTTTTTAACGCTAAAGCTCTCTCTGCTAAACGGCCAGAGCAGCGAAGAGGTGGGCATGCCGTGGTGCGAGCGGCGCGAATGTGGCCCTACAAGGCCCCAAGGGGCACACCCTCTGCTGCGAAATGTGCGTCGTTTCGCTCCCTTAGGGACCGCCGTCTTTTGACTACTTTCCCGATATATTTCCCCTTCTTCGACCTCCAACATTACCGTGGAGTCTTCGTTGAAACCAGGGGGCTATGAATAACTACCGGTGGCGCGTGGGACAGTTAGTCGCTACGTAGCCGTACGCTCACTGATTACGGTTTTGCTGGGAATAACCCTTTCTGTGAGATTAAAAAGCGCTTCGCGAGAGAAAACCAAAAGGTGCTTCGTGAGTGAAAACGGAGCCTCACGAAATGTGAGCCTAGAGTTTGAAGGCACATAATTGGCAATTGAACCGAGCACGACATTATTCCAGGCCAACCAATTTTTAGTGTTCCTAGAAAGTTGGGGGGAATTTCTCTTTTGTAATTTCTCTGTCACTCCCACGATAGAAAATTGCAGAGTTGAGAAATCGCCTCAAATAAAGTACATTGACGAAGACTCGTCCAAATGAGACTAGTACCCTTACTAACACATTAACGCCTGCAGTAACTTCGGCTCTGCCCACACATTGCCTTATGCTCACAGTATCACACAGAGTTGAGTGAATTTGCCCATGATAGCGTTAAAAAAGTGTACATGGTGAGATAACCATGCCAATGCATCTATGTAAAAAAAAGATCTCCCAACTTACATTTTCTGACGTACCATGTGCAATATTGGCTTTGTTCGCTACATCACTAGGCTTTCGCATGTGAAGCCCACGCCGAGCCATAACCAACAGCAGAACTGCTGTTAAGAGTCGTCAGCTAAATAGCAACTTCCATTACTCTGTTTTTTCGTGACAAGGATCTTTGGTTTGCTTGAAGGAAGGAGCTTTGAGGAGGACAAGTAGCAGTTCATTTCCGTCAGAATCGTGCACTCACTTCAGGGCTCGTCCCCTGCCCTTGGCTTGGGGAAAAATCTTCGCCGCACTGTAGTAACCTTGAGCTCCGCACTAAAACGCCTCTCCACTTCTGGGAAGGCTCCGCTTTTTTCCGATTTTCATTCTCTCCAGAATTCGTTCTCCGTTGGGCTCACACCTAGCGCTCTTTCCTACACCCCCCCCCCCCCCTAAGGCACACTGCGCCCTTCTAGTACGCACGACGGTCACTTTTTCATACACATACCCTAAACGATGTGTTGCCCTATGAGTGCGGAAGGCATGAAGAGGACCCGGCAGGACCAATCGTCCGTTCCTCGATGCGACCCCCATCACCACCGTCCTCCTAATAGGGGGGGTCCTTCAATACGACCCCTCTCCTTCTTCCACATTCTTTTCTCTTCAAAGCGGCTGCCGAGCGCGAGACGTAAATAAGTCTAACGAAGCGGCTGGAGCAGTAAATCTGGCAATTACGACTGCAATTATCAATAGTGCGACGTTTAATATGAAACTCAAAGGTATGATAAAGGAAATCTCCAAAATCAGACAGCTGTAAAGTGAAAATAGAGAAACTCTCACATAAGACAGCCCAGATTCACATATGATTTGACATCAAACCAATGAGAGTCTGCCGGGCATTGATTACTAGCAGAAAAATCAAGATCAAAAAAAAAAAACGAACGACGTACCGGATTTCATGTATTAGTTGATTCTTCCGAAAATGGAAATAAAGTCATTCGAAATACTCATCCTCACTGATGTCAATACCTGCAACGAAGTTAATCAAACGCAATCTCAAATTTATATATGACAAACACACTTACCCATAAAACAATGATAGGACTGGTATCCTCACTTCATGGAAACTTGACAAGTACCTTCAGTACATTATTGGGTTCTGGCAGGCGGGGATCCGCTACGGCGACTTGCAGCGTGCATACTACGCCCGGTAGTGGGAGGCGGATTATAATTGGCGCGATCACATGGCGATGTCAGACTTTGCGTCTGGAAGCGATTTGTGCCACATTATGTAGGAGCGAGGATCTTGAGCGATATTGACGGGGGAGCGGTGGTGCTATCTTAGTTGGGGGGGGGGGGGCACGCGGCGGCGCGGCGCTCTGTTCGTCTCCTCCTCAAAAGGCTTAGTCCCAGGGGCAGTTACGGTGCTATACAAGTAATGTCGCCGCATTTTTTGAACAGAAAAGTATGTCAGTAGGACTGTTGCCCGCTGCTGTACTGTCACCAGAATCGGGGAATTCGTGAGCCAGGGGGAGTGTAGCCAATCTAGGGGGTGGGGGAGGGCAGCCACTTGACATGCGTGAAAAGCTGGACGTGCCCATCCCACTTGTATAGAGCCGCAGTTACTATTTCGCCATCACATGACAGTTTCGAAATAGGCGCCATCGAGGACTAAGCCTTGCAGGAGGAGGCGAACAGAGCGCCGCGCCGCCCGCGTGCCCCCCCCCCCAACTAAGATAGCACCGGGAGATTTACACCGCCGACACGATAATTCGGCGCCATCAGTTCGTAAATCTCCTGTCGTCTCGCGCATCGCTTGCAGCGATCCGTCGCTCCTGCAATTGGTGCAAAATCGCTCCAATCGCAAAGTCTGACATCGGCCATTGGCATTAGAGCGCACAGGCCGCAATTCCCCATCCTGCTGCGGCCGGACAACTCGTCCGTATCACTCAACTACTAGACTTCAGTAATTGATCGATCTGATAATTTGGGTCTCAAAATCTCGCTGAGTCCCAAAGATCTAAAAAAGAGCGGATAGCTTCGCTGGCCTGATGCCAAGGCAAGAGGAACGGAACAGAATGTGTTGCGCGGACGAGTTGTCCGGCCACAGCAGGATGTGGTAATTACGGCCTGTGCGCTCCAATGCCAATGGGATCGCGCCATATGACGCACACCCTCGCCGGAGGATGTGTGGAAAGCGCAAAATTTTTGTGGGCGGGACCAAACGAATCAATATGCATCTGCACAATCTTGATAGCGCGTTCCACAGACTCAGCGCTTTTCACGCATTCCGATTCATTCATTCGATTACGGTTGCTTGAGTTGTAAACTTCGCGGTATGGCCGCGTTCATAGTTCGCGACTTGGGAGATTAGGATAGTAGGCGACAGGATATTAGGATAGTAGTAGAGTAGGAGATTGCGCTGACAAG